GTACAAATATTTACAAACAATTGTCTACTCAAGATAATCAATGTCTGTTGACCGGATGCCATCAACAACAGTCAACTGTTGGAGAGAAAAGACCAGCTTTGAACTGAAGAGAGAATTAGTAAAAGACGTTGGAAGTGGATAGGACATACATTGGGGAAATCATCAGACTGCATCAAGAGGCAAGCGACAACTTGGAATCCTGAAGGAAGGCGGAAAAGAGGAAGGCCAAAGAACACATTACGTCGGGAAATAAAAGCAGATATGGAAAGGATGAATAACAACTGGAAGGAGTTGGAAAGGATTGCCCAGGACAGGGTTGGATGGCGAATGCTGGTGAATGGCCTATGTTCCTTCATGAGGAGTAACAGGAGTAATTAAGTTAATCAGAATACATAACGAACATACGCCTTCCCAGTAATGATCATAATTTGTACAGAAAATGCAAACAACAAACTCATATTATCAAGTGAACTTATTCATGAGTTTGCTAACCATTGCTACTTACAATGTAGAATTTTAAAGTTTCACCACAGAAATAAGACAATAATAAATTGCATTCTTATTTAAAAACTAAGATATTAGAAAATTTTAAACCCAACCACTTAAAGTCAGAAATTAAGTAAACACAACGTGACTTGACCAGTAGAGTTCGGCTGATGCCAAGGACTAGATAAATAGGATATTGGTAACTGCTCACTACCAAATTTCAGAATAATAGTAAATTACTTAGTAAGTATTTTGCTAGTGAAATTAAGTTTAAACATTAATTAAAATCAAATTAGATTTATCATTTCACGTTTTGGGATACCATATACTACATATAGGAAAGTAATGGTGGTAATCTTAACGTCTTCTGGACTCACCATTTCAGTGAACAAAAACGTTATTTATTTTGTAAATTATGTTTAACCGCAAACTTTGATTATTATTATTAAAAGAATACAACGCAGAGAACAAGAAGTACGAAAGGCAGCTGAATTAGCTTTACGACAGAAAGATGAACACATACGTCGACTAATTGAAGAAAAAGAAGCTAGGATTCAGCAAGTGAGTATTGTTTTCATTATAATAAATGTAGCCTTTAATTCTACACATTTACCTAACTCCTGGAAGGTATATTAGTACTTCACGGGATTTGAATCGACAAGTGCATCTCTGTGCTAATGTGGTGTGGCAACTCGAACTGATGTACGTACGTACGAAGTTCTACGTTGTTACTGACTGACTGATATTAGTACTTCACAACTGATTCGTTAGTTTACACTGGGATAACATTAAACTCTACCTGGTTAGGAGACTTACGAGTTCCTGGACAGTACGGGGATTAGCTAGTTAAATACATGTTTAAAATCTTCACACGATTCCGGATAGATCACATCAAATGATTCTTGCGAGTTGTCTATAACAGACATATCAACCTCGCTATTTTTTTACAGTTTGGTTAGACATACCGGCCATGTTACCTTTTTTCAACCCTTGAATTTCCAAGAATAAATTTCCCAACAGTAACCCCAATAATAATAATCACCAAAAATAAACTAAAATGAAGGGCTGTTTAAAGAATTTTTGATAAAACCCGTTAGTTCTGATCATGCGTTTCACGTCCACCATACTTATACTCATTCGGAAATACTTTAGGAAAGTTAAACAGAACTAATTTTGTTAGACTGGCTCTTAAAATAGTTCAGCATAATGTACTCTGATTATATGCTTTCAATAAGCTATAAACTAGTGACCTAATATTCGTACATAAATTAACTGAGATGTTATACAAAGAACAATGGTCTGATACAACATACTTGTATAAGGAAATAAACCCATGGTGCATGTGCACTAATGATTGACTTTTCTCAAAATGTATATCTGGGTTAGAAACGCGATTGTATTCCGCAGTCCATAGTTAGATAACATTATAAACCTGTTACCTATGTTTTAAGTTACTGAACCTCAGCAATATCTTAATAAGCAATCACCAATTTAAAATCAACTCTATTTGGTATTCCTTCTATAGCATCTAAATTAGACAGCTCATTATCAATACCATTAAATACACTATATAATGATCTTGTTTTAAATTATAACGATGTGTTAAAAACACAACTGACAATCATAAAATTTGTATCACTTGCCACACTAATGATTGGTAAGAGTTCTCTTTATTTATTTTTTAGCATAAAATAATCAACAATAATAATATCACTAAATTACAAGTTACCATATAAATTGTTACAGTGAATAATAGTTGTTCATTGTTTATTTTTCGTAGTCAAGAAATTTGGCGTTAGCAGCTGAATGTCTACGTGAAGAAATGTTACGGGTTTATAATCTGGATAGTTTTGATAAAAAAGTTCAAAAAGTCACATTGATCAATGAAATGGGATTAAATGGAAAACAATAATATCATTGTTTTTTTTTCTGATTGATAACACACAAACATATTACGTATTTCAATTTTACAATAGGATTAATGTACAACAATTCTACTTTTATTCAATATACCTACCTATGTGTATACAACTGTTTATACGTAAACTTATACACTGTGTTCAAATGTTCTGTGTTTTTTTTCTTCAATGTATTTACACTGTTTTCATTTTCAGTTTGTCACAATCCTGGTGATATAAGCAAATACTCGTTAATGTTGATTGCAACAATAATTCTGAGAAACACTATTAACCTAATAATAATTTTATCTATTTCAATAAACTTAATACTTCTGTTTTATCAATACAATAGTTTTTTCTTATTATTTCTAGGATGTTTTGAAAACTATTTATCGTATGATTATTGTGATGAAATTCCCATTTACCTTGAAGAGTGAATTAGCTTTTTTTTCACGTACTGATACTAGCTGAAGAACCTTCAAATAATCAGATAGCAGTTTCTTTGTAGTTTTCGGGAGGGGAGCCTCGTCAGTGCTAATTGTTATCTTCTTAAGATTTACCTTTGTATTTAAAAATATATTCATAAAGTAGTCTTAATGTGTTTTTCCGTATACTTTATTTCACAGAGATACGATTAAAAAGCTGTATCTACAGAGGATTTAAATAGTTAGGAACATTTTCCCTATCGTATAGCAACTGATAAATTGTCTAATTAAATTAAATGAGTTGGATTAAATAAGGTATGAAAATTAACATAACTGATAAAATTATGAAGATTTAAACTAGACTGCTGATAGTTATAGATAATAAATGAGATTTACGGTAAATTTCTATAGGCAATCTCTGTCAAAACTATCGATAGCGTTAAACCTGATTTAAAAACAATTAGGAATCATTCTGTACATCCAAGGAAATATGTTTTATAGAATTTTAATTCATAATGACTACATCGCCTAGTGAAACTAACCAATGATCCTGATTTAGACGAGTAAGTCATCTGGAACTTGGCACTACATAAAAACACACTTTCTGTCCATCGATTATGAGTCCTTTTTCCTGAACATCGTCTATGCAATCGGAAACATTTTTACTGACCACCTGTTTTGTTTTTTAGTAAAAATTAATTTGAAGATGTTATTGTGCAATTTCGGAATTGCATTCACACAATTACCTTAGTCATTTTGGAAGCAATGGCATCCACCAAACGTTTAAATATGTTTTTACCAAACGTTGAGAATGAGTTTAGGCTTATAGTTTCTCGATGTTTATTAGATTCGAAAGTCCTTTCCATCATCGGTCAATAATAAAGGAATACTCACTGAAGATTAGTCCTCAAGAAATTTTCTTACTGATAAACTTATTTGACTTGAAAAGTCTTTTATTTACTAAAAAACCAACAGCAGGCACACAATCACCACGCCGCAAATGTATGATCAATATGATGCCGTGTAATCACTCAAAATGAAATTGAGATATGGTGAGAAGACTGTGATACACATGTGTTGTTTGTATCATTTGGATATATATTCACCTAATTACGAGTATCAAGAAACTAAATGTCAATAAGAGCATGGTGGATACTTCCATGAATCATCTTTACATTATTTAATATGGCGAGGAATCAACTTACGTGTATGGCTTGTGCTTAAACTACTGTTGAGGAACTAGCTGTTCATACGAGACGTGTTAAGAAAACAACTTATCCAAAATCAGCAATTAAGTACCTCTATACGATGACTGTACAACATCGATATCTGTATTCAGTTTGTCTGTATCAGTTGAACATACAATCAGTATGACGGTCAAAGGAATCACAAATGACTAATCCATTTGGAATTCAACTCTATGTTAACATAATTCTGTAGCGAATATGCATTGAATGTTTAAGCAGTTGACCGGAAGTGTCTCCACCTAGCGAAAATTGTGAAACCCAAACTCGTCCCCCACGAGATCCGAACCCACTGCTGAGGAGTCCCATACTAGGACGAAACGGTTTCCCAGTGCTTCCAGGTTTTCCATGGTGGTCTAGCTTCAATTGGCTTATGATTTCAGCTATTGGAACTTCTGAAATCTCCAAAAAACCTCTTCTCATTATATTATTTGGCTAACGACTGACGAAACTAACAAGTGCTTTAGGCCGAAATATGTGCGTATAAATAACATATTTTTTTACTAAATACTATCTTGTTCACATTGTCATTTAATTAGTCGTCAATCAATTTACAAAACATGATCTATTTATGTAAGAAAGTTTCCAAATTGAATGACAAATGTTTTTTACACTATAAATTAACATTAAAAGATGTCAGCTTAATTAAAGCCTAAATGTGTTCTTTTTAAAGTTGTACAATTAAAAAACATGAATTTTTTGCTCAATTGAAAAACATGATAAGTATTGCAAACTTTGTCTATAGGTTAAGATTTCTTAAAGAAAAGCATATATTATATTTGCACGAAATCTAAATTGTTACGAACTTGTGACATTTATTCCACTGATTCCTTCATGAACGATGCATATATTGGAAGATAGAAGCGATAATTTAAACAAAATGGCATAATAAAAGACAACTTTATACACAGAAGTTACATGAAAAAAAAAAAAGAAAGGAAAATAAATTAATTCGTTCTTACGTGTAAGACAGAAAGATATACTGTGAAAGTAGTTTTAAAGCTTTTTAATTTCTTGAAATTTTCAACTGAGTGTTGCGGTATGCATTATATATATATATATATATATATATATATATATAGTTGACCGGAGAGTAAAATTATGCACTTAAGTTTTTCAAATTACATACCAGGAAACATGATAAGTGGTTCACCTTTTGATGATACACATTGGATAAATCCACCTTCCGCATTAGTGGCGGTGCATTCATTTATCTGATTTGAAGGATAATTACTGACAGGGCAACGTGTGTCAACTAATACGGACAAATTAGAAGTTTGACTTAATGCATGAATTATAGAGGCAGATGTGACCATCGAATTACTAGATACATGATTTAGATTATTTGTTTCAATATTTTCATTGGAAACGAAAGTCGGGACAGATGTGGCTAGTGATGAAACTGGAGTTATGTAGGTGAGAGAGGTTTGAAGGGAATCAGAATGATTTCCAAATACATCAATGCTAGAGTCTGAATTAGACTGGGGAGTAACTTCGGGTGTAGAAGATGAAGAAACTAAGGAAGTTAAATCATTTCCACCAATTAGATTTACAGTAGAAGCATCTTTGGGATTAGTTGACATATCAAGCAGATGTTCGCTGGAACTAACTGATTCTTTAGTAATACTTTCAGAATCATCATTAATACTTGATTTAGACAAAGTCAAACCTCGACGACGAAAGACAGAGAGATGACTGCCTCCAGTTACAAGTTGTTTATAAACGGGGCATGATTTTCTGAAATTGAAAAAAAGGATGTGTTATTAACAAAAATAAGAGCATCATGAAATTTTACTTAGACAATATGCAGATAGTTTCTCATTTTCATTTAGACTATGATGCCATCGGAAATTTGGTGCACCAGAGGCGTAAAACACAGACTTACATTTTCATAAATACGAAGTTTGCGTGCTCCAATGGTAATATCCCTCTCGCCGGGGAAATACAACTAATACCTTGACGTAGTGATGGAGCATGGCCAAAAATACCTCTTTCTTTAGTTCTTGCTTTAAACGCTAGGTCAATTGGGAAGCAGAAAGCAGAGGCATCATGGTCTGAGGGCGACCGTTCATTCAGGGATAGATGGTATTAGGGTTTTTCCCTTGGAAAACTCGCATCTCCACGGTTGCTAGCTTCCCACAATAGGAGGAAGAGGAGATCGGAAAAGGTTAATCACATGGATTCTTGTAGGCAGTAAGGTTTGAAAATTACTGACTCAACACACCAAAATCTACACCATAAAAATCCATATGTGGCCGGCTGCAAGCAGATATTCCTTGGAGTTTGTGTTCGCGTTGGAAAGTCATAAAGACTCTCTCTAACCCATTTTCACCTTTAGATTTCTTAAGTATTCTTTAGCTTTGTGGGCTACGAGGAAGTAACAGATTCCCTCATATCTTTAAGAAATATCCGAGGTAAATGTGCCAACAATTGAAACACTTGTTTAGTTTTTTCCTTTTTCTTCGACTTCTCCCACAAGTAACACCAGTTTCGACATTTCGATCACACAAACGTTATCACACGCTCATTGAAACACCGCTTCAAAGTACATAATTGGGTTTTAAAAATGTAAACATATATAAAGTCGAATCGGTGAACTTGCGACAGAATTAAGAACTGAAACTGGTGTTAGTCATAATTAACGTCTTCCATTTTCAGTTAACTTCAAAATAGACATTATTTCAGAAATAACTATTTAGATAACTTTTAACAGGAGACTTACTTATTCAAAATATACGGATGAGTCTTATTTGGTTTGGATATAGAGTCTTCTAAACATATTGGAGAGCGCAAAAGCGCTTATCTACCTTTTAATGCAGAATGTTGCTTTAGGATTGGTCTATGTCAGGCCGATCATAAGCGATGATGGTAGTTAGGTGTGTTGATTGATTTATCTATTTTCGTAAACCCCGCCAGCTTCGAGGGGCTGTTGGCATGCGTCCATAAAAATCCCTTAGCTTTTACCGAATGGTGTAGCTTGTGGCATAGACGAGATGTTTATTTTTCAACGGATGGATAAGTATGCTATACAGCAACCCAACGCATGCTATCGCAATGCCGTGAAACGTAGTTTGGGATGGTAGACCAAATTGAAAGCTACTAGTATTAGACTATAGATGTCTTTGAAGCAGTTTTCTCAAGTCACTGCCTAGCTTGATAAACAATGCTACCCGGCATAAAATTAGGCTGAGAGCTAGAGAAGGGCAAACAAGCAGGTGGCATTAGTCCATGAAGATATTAACTGTTTGACTGAACCATGTAGATAGGTGTAGACCGTTTGGTTGAGGTCGACGCAGTTATCGCAACTAATGGTTAGATGCTTCAGGTGATATAGCTCAAAATTACAAGTGGGTCAGGTGCGTTGTATTTGCCTTCTTTTAGATCTTAAGTTTCTAAATTACCTTACAAAAGAATCCCCTCTTTCCTCCTTATTCCACTAATCCATATTTTCTTCTCGAACCGTATTATCTATGCCTAGTCTCTTTTATTACTTTAATATTGTTACTACTCTAGGATTTACCTTGACAATTTCATCTCGATGTACTAGTTGGTGTGACAAGTGAAGCCGATGAACACGCATCAGGTTATACGTTGGATATAACTGGTTTATTCTGCAATATGTGGTCTTTCAATATCACTGATACTACGATTATTTCGAACTTTTTGTTATGTATCTTGTTTGAGTAATCTCCCTGTATTGACGCAGGTTGGTAACTTGGGCTGACATTTGCTTCAAGCTCCATCTCGATTATAAGTGACTGAAAAATATCTATTGTTAAACGACCTAAATGATTATGACTGATGCAACAAATATTAATAGGTTGGTGGGATAAACTAATCAGAACCGTAAGATACAGAAAGCGAAAATTACGGGTGTGTCACTCATTTTACACCCACCGCTAAGTACAAGTGTAGATATTTGGTTTTGATTAAGACTTAGTGAAAGGGCTAATTATACTGTCCAGCCGACCAAACTGAAGTAGGTGGAACAGGGTCTGAAAGAGGAACACAGCGGTCTTGAATCAATCGACTTAACAACTAGGCCACTGATACACACTATATAGCTGACTGAGGTCACCGAATTCTCATGTGATCGTCGCTGTAATTATTTTTACAACATTAAGGTGCTTTTAGAAGTAATGCAAATGTACATAATTTTGTCGTTAAAATCTGAAACTTACCACGAATTCACATTAATAAGAAAACTTACAAGTAATAAACTCAGGATTTAGAAATTCAAGTACAATATGTTTAAAATAGAACTTAAGTGCCCCACTAGTTTAACTTGTCTAATTGGGTTCCTTCGTCGATGGCTTAGTATGTCAGATTCTCAAGTAAGTCATAAAAATTCGGCACAACCTTTTGGACATTGTGAGCAAAAAATTAAGTCCGAAGCCAAACTTAGTATTTAAATAATGAACTAGAACGCAGATTGAATATGAGGAATTTACGCAATTTGTCATTCACAAAATATTATTTCTGTTAGCAAGCGGACCGGTACTCATCACTAACCTTATCTCAGGAAGAAATATATATGATATTTATATAAAAATCACAATTATATACAAACTATTAAAGACACGGAAGGGTGGGCATATTGCTTTCAGTTAGAAGAGTTGATTAATAAAAAACTTAACGGTAATATTGAAATTTGGCGATGCACAAACTGCAGGTGGAATTCATAAAATGACTACAGGATATACGCTATTTCTAAATGTTTTACGTATATCAATGATGTAACAAACGTTCGTTTCACCACAACTTCTATGGAGAAAGCCATTCTGATAATAATGAGAAACAACAAACACCTTCATTTCAAAAGGCTTTAAGAATGGAACAAACAGCCTGTCCAACTACTCCTTAAAATAACTTATTCAGTTAAAACCTATAACATTGCACTTGGTCACACAAACACATTTTTTATTTGGACAATGAAATGGAAAATACTTTCACTACGAAGACACACTAAATTACATAGAATACTAACCTATGTGCATAGAAATTCGATCTCCATTTACAAACACGGCCACATGGGCAAGTTAATTGCAAAGATTTGGAACAGGAGAAAACATGTTCAGCAAAATACTTTCGTTTGTGATAAGCGTTGCCGCAGTGTGTACATTTATATGGCATTAAACTTCGGTTGACTTGGGATGCTTAAAGAGTAAAAATAATTAAATAGCAAAAAATCTAATGATTACAACTAAGATGAGATCCCCTGGAAAAACGACCACTTTCTGTTCCAACCTAGATAAACAAAAATGAACACGTATTCAACCAACATTAAATGAAAAAACTTACTGAATGAGAACTCATTTCGCCATCATCTTGATTAAGATCGACAAATGTATTTCGTTTATCACCCATAAACAACGATTTTGCATCATGGAAATTGTAATTTAATCCTAATTGATTGAAGTAATTAATTGAAATAAGAAAAAACAAATAATACTAAGAACCTGATGAATAATCATAAGTTAAATGCTTGGTCAAATTTGGACTGGCATTTTTGATACCATGAAAAGCGAAATAATGTAAGGTTAAATTTTTAACTTCTTTAGCTTTGAATGAACAAAGCAAGCATTCGTACATTGCTTCCCCAGTAAAGATTGGATTTCCTGAATGATTCTGATATATACACTGAATAGACACCTATAATTATATACAAGAATGTTAGTTCATTTAAAATCAACAAACTCACCTCCTTTTCTATATGATTGATTAAAGAATGTTCCGTAAGAACGGGACAAGATGTTGATATTAATTGACAATGACGACACTGATACAAACTAAACAAACAGTTTGCACTTGAGTGGGCAGTCTTGAAGTGATTGATGAGATTTGATAAAAGAAGTGTATTGAATGAGCAATATGAACAGTGCAATACAAGTATACAATTCTGGCTTATCATTGGGCATTGCATTGCAACACCGAATCAAAAAAAGGACCTGAAAAGTAAATAAATTTATAATACATTGGTAGTACAGAGGAAATTATTTTTAAATGAAATTTAACAACACCGAAAAAGCTTGTGGATACAGCCAAACACAGTTGAAATCATTGTCACTCAGCTGGTCAAACAAACGTCGCCAGTGATATGAACTTCTCTGATGATCGTACATTTAACCGGACTGTAACCTCTACCATATAATTTTCCCGTTTCCCTGTTCTTGGTTGCACTGCCTCCCTTATTTGTTTCTTCACAATATAATTTCTCTAGCTGTATGGCACATATTACTTGTGATGTCCAACTGTGACAGATTTCATAGGAATTATTTAGATAAGTAAAACCATCACTTTATGAGTCAGTTTTCTATAACAGCCTGATATAATTGGCTTCTTTGTCCAAGAAAACGGGCTACAAAGCTTAGGGATCTATCTCTAAATCTGAATGCGAACTAACTCGTCTTATTTATTAGTATGGGATTGAGGAGAGTAATAGTTTTTTGACTGAAATCATGAATCGATTTATGTCAGACCACTGAAAACCTGTAAGTACTGAACGGCCGTTTCGTCCTAGTATGGGACTCCTCAGCAGTGCGCATCCACGATCCTGCTCCCGAGACCTATAGACCAGTGAGCCGGCATCCAGCAGTGTTATTGTCTAACTTCAATCAATCTACGAAATTACGCAGCCATCTTCCATTGTCTGAGATAGATACCTGCCTCCACCTGACGTGTTAACTTAACAATTTCCAAAACTCCATACGGACAACCAACAGGTGCGCACTAGAGACTAGCTTCGTGAGGGGATTCTCGGAGTTTTAGGGGGATGTGACGTGGGGCTGTCAGGTAGAGACAGGTATCTACCTCAGACAATGGTTGAGCAATTTTGTGGATTTATTGAAGTTAGACATTAACACTGTTGGATGCCGGCTCACTGGTCTATAGGTCTCGCGCGCGAAACTCAAGGTCTTGTGTTCGTGGATGCGCGCTGCTGAGGAGTCCCATACTAGGACGAAACGGCCGTCCAGTACTTCCAGATTGATTGATCAACTGTGAATACAGTCCTACAGGAGGTCGGTCGCGGCCCAGATAACCCAGTGGTAACGTCTCTGACTGTGAAACTGGGTGACACAGGGTCGAATCCGTCCAGGAGCACCAGTTTCCCCAAGATTACAGGTACACCTTGCCGACGAGTGCCAAGTAGCACGAAACCTGAGTCCACGATTTCCTGTCGACTACTTCCAACCACCATCTTATCTCTATCGAAGTTCGGATAAAAGTAGTACACCCGATTGAGTGGTACTTTATGGGTCGCGAATAGATAAGTAACAAATAATCAATATCAACCTACACATTTGATTGGCCTTAGGATCCATTGTCAGACAATGTAAGAACTAGCACGAATGTGTGCCGATTTAAATTTTCATAATCTTACACTAGCAGAACGAAAACTCAACAAGAGAATTAAAAGGAAGATTTATCAACTAAAGCAGACTAGCAGTCGAGTCTAAGGGAATATTTACCACCTTATGAAAACAAATAATAATAAGTTTAGAAGCAAAAATCTTAGTAAAGTGATGTATTTACCAGCCACTGTTGAACACAGGCCAGTAACTAAATGAATACGGTTGTGACGAATTCGAACAACCGTAAACGTATTCATGGTCTGTGATTTATTATTTATTTGAACACATAAATATTGGTACAAAGGCGCACCGAACACTAATGTGCCACACAAGTCAATTGATTTGTGTGGGCTGTGATACTGACCGGGTGCCCAGACCGAAGTAGGTGGTTTCCTTAGGAGGCCACGCCCAGAGCTTTCAACCTAAAAATATGATCCACAAGGTAGTGGAGCAACGTCAGGAGATGCACTCCCATGTTAGCCAATGACCAATAGTTAGTCCACACGCCATTTGTTCCCTTGGGATACTGGAGCCCATGTGCACCATTGGTCTGAAATCAGGGTCATCCAATCCCCCTAGGCGGATCCTCCATATCCACCGACTCGGTTACAGCACCAGACATCCGTATTTCGTCTTCTCAATTTTGTAAACAACCCCCCGTCACGAGAAGGCAGTGAGTAGGACTTTCCTGGCAGTGGCTGTATACGCGTGGCCAAGTGAGGGCATTTCGAGAGGGAGAACAAACTCTTCCCACCCTCAGCCGTACCAAGGCATTTGGGGGGGGGGTCAACATGTTCTACATCTACTTTAAAAACATGCATATGTTTGCGTAATAGGCTTAGAGCCACACTTGCTATGAGGGTTGGCAATGGTACTTAGTTACCCAAACCGAAGTAGGTAGGACAGGGTTCAAGAATCCTGAAATATATCTACCCCAGTGCAAATACGAAAAGAGTTAAGTTAGTATCAAAGTTATAAAAACTAGCAGAAAAGGCAATGTTGTGATTTTCACACAGTAAGAAGATAAAAAGATGGTTATTATTAAACTAAGCGTATGCATTTCAGGAACTCGAAATGCATCCGTGGCTATTTATTACTCGTAAAGAAGGTCGCCATAGTGTAAGCCTCGAAGGCGACTATATGTGAAAAATTTCTAAGAACGGGAACGTTCCTTATGTTTAAACAACCGATAAATGATTTCGAGGTTATGAACATAGCAAGTGAAAAAGGGGACATCAAGAGGAATATGAAGGAATTTAGTTCCAAGTCTATTAAGCTTCAAGGCTGTTGATGAGTGGTAAGAACAAAACAGAACAAATGCCACTATTTACCAAAGAGCAAAATAAAATCGATGGAAAGTAAAACAATAAAAGTATTGGTACCGAAACAAAATAATACTTAAAACATTAAGGAATGAAAGGTATAGAATGGTGCTATACCTAACCATATGAGACAGATAAAGTGAACAAATCTGATCCAATATATATTATTGAAGGATAAAAATTCCTGATTACGAATGTTAGATAGATAGACTCTATCCAATGTACCCAGTTTGAATGACAAAACAAAATAGCTAATGTCACAGCAATCATGTTTAGACTGTTTATGGTAACTGGATATGAGGGTAGGAAACCATTTCCAATTTGTGGTTTTACCATAGGCAGTTCTACAGATCCCTATGATCAAGAAAGCATAACCTACGTATGTTCTCTAATTCTGAACTCACGAAATACTACAGCCCAGAATGCTAAGTGGTACATGTACTTTTCAAAGAGAAGTTATGCATATTTGGAGTCACAAGTAGAGTGAATTAGCGAAAATTGAACAAGCAAGTCATCAGACCACTAGGGTTAATGCATCTTCTAAGGTAGGTATGTAGATAGACGTCTATAGACGCAAAACTCACGGGTTTCAGCACGATATATGATGTAGTCAAAAGGCCAAAAGAAAGGCAACACAGTTTTACAATAAATCAGTAAGGTTGAAAACGAAATAAAAACCTTAATAAGTGGCAAGTGATGGAGTGATGATGATTGATGTCCAGAAATGTTAGAAATACGAGGGGAATGATCTCTTCCTCGTAGCCCACAAAGCTAAAGAATACTTAAGAAATCTAAAGGTGAAAATGGGTTAGAGAGAGTCTTTATGACTTTCCAACGCGAACACAAACTCCAAGGAATATCTGCTTGCAGCCGGCCACATATGGATTTTTATGGTGTAGATTTTGGTGTGTTGAGTCAGTAGTTTTCAAACCTTACTGCCTACAAGAATCCATGTGATTAACCTTTTCCGATCTCCTCTTCCTCCTATTGTGGGAAGCTAGCAACCGTGGAGATGCGAGTTTTCCAAGGGAAAAACCCTAATACCATCTATCCCTGAATGAACGGTCGCCCTCAGACCATGATGCCTCTGCTTTCTGCTTCCCAATTGACCTAGCGTTTAAAGCAAGAACTAAAGAAAGAGGTATTTTTGGCCATGCTCCATCACTACGTCAAGGTATTAGTTGTATTTCCCCGGCGAGAGGGATATTACCATTGGAGCACGCAAACTTCGTATTTATGAAAATGTAAGTCTGTGTTTTACGCCTCTGGCGCACCAAATCAATGACCGTGATAACTTTGTCAACTCATGGTTTAGAGAATAGGAGACTGATCGCACTGAGTGAATTATAACTATCACACACCTCTGTGTGTAAGTAATAGATTTATGTATTGCACTAAGTCATAAGCTGGAATGGTTTTTCTAGAGCACAATGTCGGCAGTTATTGTTATGCCATCACAATAGAATATTGTGATACCGCATGTCTCTCAACACCATCAGGTTGAAGTAGCGCATAGTCACTACCCTAAGGTCTTGATAGTTAGATAATGTTCCTGGTTACGCAGTGTGACTCTTGCCTTATTTCTTTCAGACATAAAAGGAAATCATATGAATTGGTAATGAGGTGAGTAATTGAATGGGAACATCTTATTTAGTTTTTACCAGCACCGACATGACTGAAGTAAATGTCGTTTCCGAAAACTCACAGAGGCCTAGTAACAATAGCTTCATTAACATGATTTTTGACTTATATACTCTAACGGCAAGGAAGTTTCCGCAGATCTTCGTGTGAGCTCTCTCGCACTGCATCCTGAAGTACTGTCTTTGTAGGCCAAGATGACTGATTAAAATCACGATAGAGTTCCTTCTAAAGTAACTGCTAGCAAGATAGTTATCTAAAGCATTACTGCAATCTATATGAGGTTAGGCGTGTTTCCAGATATAAGACGACTAAGCAGTTCATAAACATTCTAACGACTGTAACACAGCCGGCAACGTTATGAAAAGCGTGCTATGGAACAATCACTGCTTAACAAAATGGTTCTAAAGGTGTGCCGTATGATGGGTGTATCTAACCTGTGCGAAAAAGCGACAACACTTGTACTCGCTGGGGTATCATACGAAGAAATGAGAAATGTAAGTGCCCGCTTATATTCGAACGACTATACAAACTCTATTGAACATAAATAGCGAAACGTATGCCGTGAACTGTCAGAGATATTTCTCAAGCCTGTAATGGATAAATTAATACTCTGACTCTTAAATAATATGAAGTAACAAAATAGTAATGCTAATAACTAAGTAAAAATCTTCAAAGTAATATCTCGCCCTGTCGTTGAACCTGTAGTAGTTATCGACCCTCTGTTGGCGAAATCACTAGAACGTCTCATCACAACCTTCTCAAGGAGCCGACAATCAGGTTTTTTGACGGAATCACTGACCTGTTCGTTCCCAGGAATCTGTGTCCGATTGATAAGTGTGTGAATGTTGGTTATGAGAGGATATGATTGTTGCCATAGTCTCTATAAAAAATGGGGAACAAAACAAGTTAGAGGACGATGGAAGTGAACAAGAAGCAACACGAGATGAAATCCTCTTGTGTACATGACACCACAGGCCTTTTCGAACGTTATGTCGTAAGATTTATCATGGGTGCCGTAACTTGAACTCCCGGTATGGAACTCCAAAACATACCTGCGAAAGCCTCAATACTGTTTATAAAAGACAATGTATGCTCACTTTCGTGTCCCGTTCGGATTGAATATCCTCCGAAGTGTTACTTATTAATGATTCTTATAGCGTTAAATGGACGTCCAAAATAAATAGTTCTGTGAGTCTTCGACACTGATGCTGACCTCATTAGTTTCAATGGACACACCTAACTGAGGCGCTCGGTCACGCGTCAAAGTTACATCACGAGTGTGTACGTCATGCTACGCATCCCTTGTAACTGCTGGCCAGCTTGGATCAAATGCTTCTAAACATAACGATATATCCTCATTTTTCATTTTTATTTTTACATAGTGTGATATTGTTTTGATGTTTTAGGATATTTTCCGCCTATTTGTGCGTCTTGTTTTAACTGACCGAAAAAGGTTGTGTCAACTTTTCCACAACATCATGTTGTAACATGGCCCAGCAACAGGAATGTTGCTACGAATGTAAGAGGTCATTGGTCAACGAACAGCTATTCGTGCCGAAGATTTTCCAACGGATGCAGGCAGTTCTTGTCTTATCTCAAAATAACTCTATAGACGAAATGACGGCATCTTCAGAATGGATTCTGGAGATTACCAGAACCCTAGACTTCGAGGTTTATTCTGCCAACAAAAGACTCCAAACAACACAGAATGACGTTGCATACCTCCATTATACTCTTACTCGTTATCTTAATATATACCATGATCATAGATGCTTCCAAACTCATCGAAGGAGCTCGCCACAGAAAGGATCTGTCACTGGACCGTGAGATAATTCTGATTGTTGCAGACACCACAATACATATGGTGAGTCATCCAAAAATTTCAGAAATCACTTCAGTTTCTCAAATTCTAAACTGTCTTGCGTGGAAAACACTCCGGAAAACGTCCCCACCGAGCTGCGTTAACGGCAACCGTAGCTGACAAACATAGCCGTCCGTTGCAAGTTACTGGTGTGTTGATGAAAGTGTACTATCTCTTCGACACTGGCTCATAAGTAAGCGTTCTTCATGCAAATTCTAATGAATGTCTGCTTGAACTCGTCTTCAACTTACAGGCGGCAAATGGATAACCGATTACCACATATGGTAAGCAATATGTTTATTTTAACGTAGGTTCACGCAAACTTGTTTCTATGCCAATTACTGATATAGACCTGCTAAAACACCATAATCTACTCATCGACATGTGCAAACAGGGGTTGGTGGATGGCAATACTCAATTGTCCGTTCGTGTAGATTATCCTCAGTCACAGTAAGGCATATAATCGACCCATCCTATCAACTCATACTAGATAATTACCTCAAAACGCACCAAACGCGACCGAAATTACCGTGTGTAATCGGCAGCATTGCACACCACATTACAAATAATGGACCACCAGCATTTCCGAAAGTGCGCCGACTAGCTCCGAAAAGGTAAGTTTGGCCGAAAGCGAAATCGATAACATGATAGGCTTGTGAATTATGTGGCCACTTCTGAAGAACTGTATGCTGACTCGAGAGGTCGTCGATGTGAGTCTCGACGTACAAAGCCGTGTGTAGTATATCGTAAGACAGCTTGAACGAAAACATTCGTTGATTAGATGACTAGTTGTCGCAAGAGACGAGTATTATGGGACACTGGAACATGATCTGGTACGGATGCTTGACTTGGTGCATTCAGCTAAAGAAACGTCAAGTAGAACAGATAAAGGTTTGGTAGCTCTTTTTATCTGACTCCATTTGTATTGTGTGGATGACTGTCGTCGAAATACACATATCGAATATCCTCGTACATAATTATCAGTTTAACTCGAGTTAGTGAATAACGGATTTAAATAAGTCAATCACGAGTATAGAGTTTGAATATGTATATTTCTTGCACTCAGTGATTTGAACATGCTATCAGGGAGACGAAATAAAGAAGGAAGAGAGAAGCAGGTTGGAGAAGGCATGTGTACTAACTCGATTTAACCAAGAGTTATTCAGTATTTATATCCAGATAGAAATAAGCTACAGACATGTGACGAGTAGGATAAGATGTTCACACACACCTGCTCCGCTAGAAACAGCCAGAATAAATGAGCGAATAAGTGATAAGGTCAAGATATGATTTAAAAAGAATGAATAGATTGGCTTGTCCGGAGGCTAGAATAAGCTATGTGGGTTTAACATAGCACATGACGTTACACTATCCCCCACGAGTTCCATGTCAGTATCGAAGACTTTAAAAACTGTTCTTCACTTACCACTAAACTGTATATGCAAAATAGTGCTCATTTTGTATATTTGATTCAAAGGTCTTGAATATTTAGTTGACGGCAATGGATTTAGATCGAAATAATCTCTTACATTCTGTAATCTCTATTTACAAATACAGTCCCTAGAAACCTAACGACTTCATTAATTATTATTTTCGTTCCATTGCCAATTTATTTCGTTGCGCTAACTGTTTACTTCAAGTTTTGATGTTCAACTCATTCAAATGAGGTGTAATGGATCAAACTATCTCCTTCTACTCCTAATCTTAGGCTTTCATTATTGTTGATGATTGTCTGTTGTTACTGATTCTCTAAAGTGGCTAACTTATTAAACAAGTATGAGGTTACTTAGTATTTAAGACTGGGATGGACTGCTCACTTTGATATATTTCTGCTGAGCGGATCACCTTAAGTTTTACAAAAAGACGTTTAGTGTTCAATTTTAGAAAAAAGAAGGAGTACTAATAATTTACGTATCTGGAGCAGCAATACTTGTCGTATCCAACTATGTGCACGAAACTTATGGAAAAGTCAAAATCACACAGAATGTTTGTATTATGTACCGCTGTGTGTCTAAATAATCAAAACTTACAAGTGTCTTTATCATCCTCAATTTCATGTAATAGGTAGTGTTCAGATATTTATAGTACATAACGCCGAGCTCACAGATGAAATACAGATATTGGTTGCTGCAGACAGTCAACTAAAGAGCCATTCATTCTCAATACGAGACTAGAAGGAAGTAGCTTAGTTGATACCATCGATATAGAAGACGAAATAATGGCAATGATGATGCCACAGGTATTCAGTGTTTGACAACGCTTATACCAGTAACACCTTCTAATATATTTCGTTCCCGCCCAGAGAAATCAAAAGACAGAGTCGAGGAGATCGGAAGAGTATATTAGGCGATGACCAATATATCGGAATTCTCTGATTTAATCTGGCTAGCGATTGCGGTTGATGTTGAGCACGGCGTTACCACACGTGATCTGGTGCGGATGCCTGACCGAGCGCCTTCAGCTAGGTGAGTCCACTAAAACATATGGTCAGCATCCAATGTCGAAAACTTAGTGCTATTTATTTTGGGGATTTATTTACCGCTACAGATCACTCCCCCCCTAGTGGGGCAGTGACGACCCTAAGACGTGGCCAGCCAGAAGTTTAAACCCAACGAGTTTGTCGTTGGTAAACACTCTTCTGATAGCTTACTAAATTTAGCAGCGTCTGGTCGTCTTTCCTTACTATATGTGACCGAGGTACGACATAGTAAAAAAAGAAAAAGGTACAACGAAAATTTCGGATCCTCATAAACGTCATCGTTCTTTTCCAGCCGTCCTGGAAAAGAAAAAAGAAAATGTAAGTGTATGTCGAAAATACACTCGTATGTGCGTAAAAACACAATGTCGGCGGAAAAAAAGGAAAAAAACTCATGAACACGTAATAGCGTTAAAAAAATGTTTTTTTGTTTTGTTTTTTTTAAATAGAAATAAAAATATATAAGCATATTAAAATTGCTTTTTTTAAAAAAATAATATAAAATGTCGAGAAGTGCCTTACGTGCAATAGTCGTTTAAATGTTCTGGAAATCTCACCCTTCTTCCAGAACGCGTCGTTTTAAGTTTATTTTCGGATACTGTCGAAGTATCATCGTGTGTGTTGGTTGTCGGATGAGGTATTATAAGTATCGGAGTCGTGTCGTTCGGTTGTACCGAAGGAAAATCCACGTAGATAGGATTTCCTTCTAAATACGCTGCTTTTAAGCGATCGATGCTGATGCTATCGTTGGTTCCGTTCTTATCGACTATATAGTACTTAGATTCACGTTGAAGAACTTTGAAGGGTCCTTCGTATGCTGATTCGAATGGTCGTCGATGCGAGTCTCGACGAACGAAAACGTGTGTACTATATCGTAAGTCAGGTTGAACGAAAACATTAGTTGATTGAGGTCGAGTGAAAGCAGGTTTAACTGAACGCATTGCGTTTGTAAGCCTGTTCGTGTAGGAGGTTAGATCCATGTTCATTGAAGAGGACGAAGGATCCACGAATTCTCCTGGAAGTCGAAGTGTCGTTCCATAAACGAGTTGAGCCGCAGTGTATCCAATGTCAGCTTTCACTGCATTGCGGATACCTAGTAAGACAAGTGGAAGAGCGTCGATCCACTGTGAAACGTTTGCA